AAGAGCGTGTTCAGTTCCAGCTGTAATATGTACAGTCTCAAAAAGGGAGATTACTTATTTTTCTCATAATTTGCATTACTACCCTATGAAAGCATCTTAATCCTCTTTCTTAGTATTTATATTAAATGGACAGACTGAAAAAAGCAAAGTACAAGCATTTGTTCAACAAGACGGTGCCATTCCCCAGCCCCCTTTCAGCCTATTTTGATGCATTAGATGCAATAATGACCTTGCAAAAGTATTTCAAGTGATGTAAAAGAAGTCCATATTTTAAAATCTTGTAATGATTTTTTTCTTAATGTATTCTCTATGGGTCTATCTTGAATCCAGTACATTTTTAATTAGTGTTTTTGATTATGGAAAATACATGATGTTTTTAAATGCATGACAGCAAAGTGTTGAACAATATCAAATTGGGAGGGGCTACAGGAGTACAAAATTTGAATGAAACCAGCATTCAGAATCAATCTGGAAAACTGAAAAAAAGTTTGAGAAAAAGGAAGTCGCAGTTCAGTACCTTAAGTTCAATATCTATGCTTAAATACCAAATCAGAATGGTCAAATCTTAAGGCAGTTGCAATTACTTGCATAATATACTTACCTACAGAGTGACTGGAGAATAAAATCCAGTTCCAAATGCAGAATTTCAGGCTAAAACAACTGGCCATGTCTATGTAACAATGGGGTTCTAAACCAGCTATAACTAATCAAGAAAAGTCATGGAGTCATAACAGTACCCTTAGTATAGTCACTCTTTGCTCAGCAGTTTTGAGAAGACACACAGGCTGCTAGGACTTAGTAGGAAAAGTAATAATAATATTAATAATGGTGCATGAAGGGAAGAGAGTTGCTATTTACTCTCACAAGATGAGGCCCAAGGACCAGTCAGCTGCAGATGCAGAAAAGCAGAAGCAATGAAGTAAACCATCGCACACAAACTGTGGAACTCGCTCGTGTAGGACGCTGTGGGAGCCCAAAGTGGCCTGAAAAACGAATTGGGCAAACTCAGGCTGGACAGGACTACTGAAGCTCCTTGAGGAGGATTCCAAGGAAAAGAGTATTTTCCTCTCCCTATGCTCCCCTGTAAGCACCCGGACCAGCTACAGGTGGAGACAATTTGTACCTCAGATTAACCCAGGACAGCAGTTCTCCAGTGAAATACAGAAACAGAGTGCTTCCAAGAGCTGTGCTACAACTATTTATAATGGGCCTTTTAAACAACAGACCAAGCAACCACTTGTGAGGCACACCCTAAGCGTATATTTACCCTGCCTTGCAGATGGTGGAAGCAGATACGTGACCACAGGTCTTTAAAGGACTAAGTTTCTTAAGAGACACAAACCCGAGGGCTCTGTGACCAGGGGACTGTTGTTTTGACCGTCACAGAGCAAGAGACACCCTGCCGTCCCTGCGAACCCCACTTCCCCACAGCCCAGCCCCTCACAGAGCAGCCCCTCCACCAGCATCACCTGTGAAGGAGCTGCTAGCAAAGCAACTACATGCAAAGTACAAATGAAATCATAGATGTTATATATTCCTAGTAAGCGAATAAGCTTTTGAAAGCTACAGAGAAACGCACTTACAGCGCCAGCCCCGCCGCGCTGGAGCCCGGCTCTCACACGACGCGACAGA